TAAGAAATCAAGAAGAAAACAAAANAGGTTGTTAGGAAGTTTTTGGATTTGCCATTTGTTGAGGATCTTGACAATTTGACAATTAGTCCTAAACACCACAATCAGTTAGCCATCGACCTCACTGGAGGTTATGTTCAATCTTGGCCTGAGAGTGGTCAGATTCCCAGCAATATGCTTACCCTAATTTATAAAATCCTATCTAGGACCACCTTGACAAATTTGTCACCATCACTTCAATATTCCTCTGTGAGGTTAGATAAAGCCCAATTGATGTACAGGATAGCCAATCATAAGAAAATTGATTTGGGGAGTTTAATTTACTCTAGCATTAGGTCTATTGCCAAAGCTAAAGGAAAATCCCTTGCCTTACCTTTTGTCTCCCTAATACATAGGATTGTTACCTCCTATAATCCCAAGATGCACCTAACTGATACTTGGCTGAAAATCAAACTCATTATAGCCAAAACCTTTAAGATCCCAACTTTAGTACCTACTCAGGATGTGCCTTCAATCTCTCATGCAACCTTTGGCAAAGCTAACTCTAGCTAGTCCAGAATTGTTGATTTTTTTAGGTACTTGACAACAAAATGGCTGAGAAATTTTCTCACCTTGCTGAGCAATTGACTCATACTCACTCCACCTTTCATACACGAGTGGACACTTTGCAGGATACCGTGAAACAAATCCTAAGTGCTCTTCCCTTATCCTCGACTGCTGGTCTTTTTTCATTTGTTCCTCCACCATAAGAACCTCTTGTTGAGACTCAACATGAAGCTTTTGTCTCTAAAGAGGATCAAGATGCTTCTCTTGTTCCAAACAAGGATGCTCACACTGATGCAATAGAAAAGACTGATCTCGCTACCCAAACAAAGACTACTCTTGTTGCCGATGTCACCCAGGATGCTGCTGTTGCTACTGATGGTTCTTCTACCAAGGATGCTATTGTTATTGCTACCTCTGATCTGAATGCGCAACTTAATAACGAAGAAGTGCTACTTAATGTGACCACCCAAGAAGTGCCAATTGATGTGAGCACTCAAGAGGTGCCAACCAATGTGGTCACCCCAATTGTGCCTCCTCCGACTGTAAACACTGCTTCAACTCCTCCAACTCAACCTCAAGTCACTGCCCCAGCAAAAAGACACACAAAATCAACTGCTAGAAGAAATCTCCCCATCAAAAGATCAAACAAGCACAAGGGATGAAGAACTATGAACAAAGAGGAGGAGTAAAAACCTGAAAAAGTTGTCTAAAAAAACTCCCTACCTCTACGTGTGATGTGGTGGTCACTTTGAGTCTTGAAGTGATCACCTGCCTACTTTCCTAAACTGAATTTTTTAATTTCTGTTTAGTTTTTTTAATTTTTTATTTAGAACTTTTTAAAGTTTCAGTTGTTAATGTTCCGTTTTTTAATCACATTATCTTTGATATTTTTGAAATCTTTATTGGTGTGCCTAATGATTGTGCTTTCATGTGTAGAGAACATTTTTTATTGTGTGATCTTTTCTAACCTTCTTTTGTGTTTGTTGATTATCTTTATTGATTTTCTTTTCAACTTTGTCTTGGTTAGTTACTCAGGGGGAGTATACTAATTGAAGGGGAGTAAATTTGTTCTTGTTCATATCTTAGTTTTAATAGTTTATACCTTTTAATGAGATATTGTTATTTGATGTTTCTTGATCTGTCTCTTTTTGGATGATTGATGATTTTTTGAGACAGGTTCATGTTTGAATAGATTGTGCTTTGTTTATAAGTTTGACAAAGGGGGAGATTGTAAGTTATTTGTCAACTTATGAACCTAGAGTGGTAACTCTCAATTCTGGTATGATCACCTTACCTTGTCTTAGCACAGTTGTTTTTGTTTAAACTTCCAGTATGACCACCTCATGTTTTAAGTGACCACTCTCTCTTATGTTGGTTATTTGCCATATCAGGTGAGCATCTCTGAGTCAGAGTGATCACTTTGTATTTGGCTGATTTATTTGGGTAACATGTGTTATGCTTCTAAAACACATGAGTTGTTATATTCTCTTTTGAGATATTTGTGTGGTCCATAACACTTTTCAAATTCATATTCAATGTGCTGGAAAGTTTTATTCTCTTCGATAGGTGGCATCTTGATATTGAAATAAACTTTTATAAAGGTAAATTCAATAAAGTTTTTTTTGCCACTTGTCCTTGCATTGGCCGACTGTTTTGGTAAATAAACTCTTCTCCAATGAAAATTTTGTTAAGCTTGATATCTCTCTGAAAAGTACACTAAAAATTTTATGAGTTTTTACTTTGTTTTTGTCAGGTTTCTATGCTTAGGTAAAGCTTTAAAATACCTCTTTCAAAGTACCCAAAATGCGTCCCTGCTCTTTATGTGATGTATGAAGTGTGTTGAGCTTCTTCCAGTGAAATGCATCTTTGTTTTTGGTCCTTGAGAGAAGCTCAAGGCTGACCGAGTTGGTTGTGTGTTCTTGTAAGCTCACTATGGTTGTACGTTGTTTAACCAAAGGGTAGAGATTGAAGCATTGCAAAATAGGGGTGTTTTGGCAACTAAGGCTTGATCTCTAACTTTGTAATTGAACTGTAAAGTAAACCTAGTGGATTAGCTTCATTCTGGACTTGGTCCCATGGATGTAGGAATTTTGCCGAACCATGTAAAAATCTTGTGTGTTTTACTTTGGTTTATGTTTATGTTTAATGGACTCTTAAAATCAACATAGCAACCATTTCCACTTAAGTTTTAATTCACTTGGTAAATTTAAACCTTTTATAACCAAGTTCCAGCAGCCATTCAATCAAGTATGAGGTATGGTGTAGGTTTGGCACATAAACGCAAGTTGAACCTTTGAAGAAAAACTCTCTAAAATTTTCAGAGCACAAGCAAAAACAAATATCAAATGGTTAGGTTCAATTAACGCAAGAAAGAATATTATATAAAAGAGTTTTCTTGCTCAACACTTTGTGCCAAGTCAACAAACAAGGGCTGACTCATGTTTGTCCAAATAAGGAAAAGATTCATACTTTTGTTTTGGACCACAACCAAATCGGGAAAAAGCAATTTTATTCCCTTGGACCACAAATGGATATTTTGACAATTGTATGTAGTCCTAAAAGACAACTTAAAAGATAAATAAATATCTTGGCTACCTTATACAAAAACCCACCTTGTGCTAAGTTGGAAATATCTTATGCGAGTGTGCAAGCACATAACTGTTGTGCACACACTCGATACGAAACAAGCCAAAAACATAAATTTAGCCACATGTGTACACACACAACTGTTGTGCACACAGAAAGCATAAGTTTGACAAAAGTGTTCTATAAATACTACAAGAAAAAATACTTTTTGCAACCACTTTTTTTGCAACTAGGCAAAAATAGTTGTAGATACCCCACATTTAGTAACTAAATTCCAATTAGTCGGCCAAAGGGAATAAATTTTAAGGCCCATTTATTCACGCCTTCAGCATCTAAAATTAATATTTTGTGACTAATGTGATTTGTTGCCCAAAATATCACGTCAGCGACTAATTTATTTGGTTGCCAATTCTTGCGCGAACACAATTGGCAACTACAACAAGGGATTCTGCAATTAAAATTATGGTTACAGAAAACAATTATTTGCAATTACTGAATAGTTGCTAAATTAGATGCAAGTATTTATTAATTAATTTGTAACTATTTTTATTAGTTACAAAATAATACAATTACCAAAATATCCAAGCTTTTGATAATAATTACAAAGGGCCCAGGGTACATTTGGCAACTAATTATTTTGTGCACATTACAACTAATTGCAAAAACTCATGAATAGCAACTAAAATGTATTCAGTCACTAAAAGTTGATGAATTTTTTTTACCCCAACTTTCTTGATAAAATGAAAAAATATTATTTTAATTTGTGACTAAAATTACTGTTGCGTAACTAATTAGCTAGTTGCAAATTATCTTCTTTTGGCAGCTAAGATTTTAGTTGCCAAATGTATGGTAAATTTTGGGCCCCCCATGTTCCCGTTTGAAATAAATTGAAATTTTGGATATATTATTTTGGCAACTAAATTTATAGTTGTTAATAGGATTTTTTTGCAACCAAAATGTTAGCCACTAAATATTGTTTATTAAAAATAATATATACTACTAGTAACCAAAATCAATTTTATTGTCTGATTTTACTTTTGCCACCTACATTACCATCTCTTTGACTTTACCATCTCTTTGATTCTACTTTTGCCACCTACATTACCCCATTGAAGGTAACTTTTTTTTATTTTTATGTCAAAGGTCATTCTTTTACAGATGGTATTTCAATTTTATTGTTTGATTTTTAATCCGTTTCTTCACAACATTTGTTTTAATTTGTTTAAACATATGTTGTTAGTAACGTTCCTAAATGGGTGGCTTTAACTTCGTAATAGGTGATTTTATTTTTGTCTTCTCTTTCATCTGACATTACAATGGCTATTATAATTGTAATGAGTACTTTAAATTCGTCTATTGTTCCTAATAAATGAATGGTGTTTGATTTTATTTTTGTCCTCTCTTTCATCTGACATTACCATTTTTTCCCTAAAATTTTTGCTTAACCGCTATTTCACTTATTTGTACAAGCCCTCATAGTTGACCTCCTTCCGGCACTGGAACAACAGTTTTAGTTTCTACCACTCTTATTCAGTAGAGAACGACTCGCTCACTGACTTTGGTGCTTATTTCGTGCCTATTTCGACGGAGATTGTTAACTTCGGTGAGTTTTGGCGAGGCGTATCCCGAACACTCAAATATAGTGGTGTTTAGAAAAATGAAGAAACCGAACCTAACCGGGAACTGAACCAGTTTTTCATTTATTTGGGAAGTCATTCGATTATGGTCCACAAAAATACAAAAAACTGAATTTCCAATTTTTAAAAAAAAAAAAATTTAAAAAGTAAACAATTTTTCCTTAAAATTTAAAAAGTAAGCAATTTTATATAGAAATTTTTGAAACTTAAAATTAAAAAGATAGTAAACCCACTTATACAAAATCCCCAAACTAATTTTACCCTAAAACGCAAAACACTCTCCACTTCTCCACTCCGTTCGCATCTCCTACTCCATTTTTCCACACCACATATAAAACATAAAATCCTACTGCTTTACTTCTGAACCCAGAAAAAGAAGGCAGAGAGTTTTTAGAGATTAAAAATAGGTGATGAATCTTAAAGATTGGTGTGTGTATTATACAATAATGTTGTTGTTGATGAAATTCCGTTTCTATTAAAGCCAACAAAGGCTGATTTCTTCAAGAAGAAAGATCCAAAAAGTGCTTCTTTGCTTCTGAAACCAAAATGAAGACCAGGAATTTGGTGTTGCTGATGTTATGTGTTATGGTTATAGCTCCTATTGTTCTTTGTACTGATAGATTCTCTACCTCTTTCAAGGCTTCTTCTTGTATATTCTCTTCTTCTTCGTCAATTAATTTATTTTCCTATCTCAATTTCATACCTTGTTTCTTCTTCCTCAATTAACATTTTTCTGGGTTTGTTTCGTTTTTGCAGCTAGAAACCAATTTTTGAAGATCTTTCAGCTTTTGTAAGTTTTTTCAACTTTCCTTTTTCACCCCTTATCTTTCAAACATGATAAGATATTAAAGTTTCAATCTTTCTTCGTTTTTTCTCTTCATACTGTCGGTGGTGATGCCAGCCATCTAAATCTTCTTCCCCAGGTGCTTGTATGTTCATGGGTTTTTTGTTTAAATAGTTTCTTACTCATAAAGCTCAGATCTTTATATATTATCCCTTCAAAATCTCATTTTTTTCTTCCTTGTTGCATATAAGAATCTTCCACAACCCGTAAAGTACCCATTGGAATAGTTTATTCAGGTTGGCTTTTTCATTCTTTCTCATTGTTTGTGTGGTGAATTCAAGAACCTTTGTTGGGAAGTTGTCAGTACTTGTATCTTATGGGTTAAATTTGCTGTATGAGCAGAATCAAGATAGAATAAATTAGCTAGAGTTTTGTCTACAACAAATGATGTTGATCGGTCTCAAACGGATAATATAATCAAACAGGTCATTGATCTGAATCAGAGTGAAAATGAAATCAAGAAAAGTTCTGGAGATGCTAAGGACAAGATTAAGGCATCTGAGCAGCAGAATTTTGATAATGACTCTCAAAATATGGTAATTTTCAATTTTTGTTATTCCAATTTTATAATCAGAGCACTCATGTATATGCATTAAAGTCTTGGATGGTTACTTGTAGGTTTGAATGTGAAAGGATTAGTTAGCTTGCAGGTAGTTTAGTAGTCATTTTGACGCTTTTTCTTTATTTTATTCTAATTTAAAATTTACCATAGTATTACTAGGGTAGTGCAGATAATACTTGAATGTTACGCATCATACATTGCTGGGAGCCTGACAGTATTAATTATTTGTCTTAAACATTTTAATTTGTTCTTCTGATGGTGGAAAGGAATGGTTATGCTTGATTGATCTCTTTATTCGTGTATATAAATATTATATATGGCTCACTGCTATATCTTTTTGGTTGTATTGAAGATTTTGACTGTATGGTGAACCTTTTTAGATTAGATTAATCAAAATTGCAATCTTGCTTTTCTCTTTTTTTGTCTGTAGGGGAGTTCTGTCATCTGTTCCCTGTTTCTTTTTCATTGGGAAGCCTGAGCAGTTGTCTGTATACTGGAAACAGGATGAATGTGATACGAACACCTGCAGATTAATCAATTCACAACCAACCAACAGTAATTCTCACACAAAATAAACCAACATACAACCAATCCTCAACCAAAAATATATCAGAAACAGCAAGGGCAATTCTAACAATATTTGTATTAGTCAGATACTTGAATAAAACTGAATAAAACTGAAGCAAATGCAAGATAGAATGAACTGGACATAAACCCTGGCGTTTCGAGGAGCCAGGAGCCTCCACTATTTTATCAACAAAATTCTAGATCCTTGATATTACTACTCTCCCTGAATATATACTAATCCTCTTTCCACAATTACCCTCACACACACAATTTGTATTCTCACAACAGACTCCTATCCATGACACCTATTCTTTGTGGTCCCTACTCCCTTAACAACCTTACTAATGTTTTTTGTGCCCCTTACGGTTGTAGACTTTATGCACTGCTGGTTTATCAGAATGCTGTTATAAACTTTCCATTTTTTTTTCTTATTCCTTGCTGCTTCTCTAACACACACGCTGATGTGCTCCCAAAGTCTAGTGTTTGGAGACCCTATGTACACGTGATATTGAACCAAAATGGTTAGCATGGACTCTTTCTCAATATTGAGTCAGCCTGTGCTTATTGCAGATTAGTTATGCTCACTTGGTGACAAATGAAATTCATTGATAACATTTGGTTTTTCCATGAAGTTTCAACTTTAATGGATTGATTGCTTCATATTAAGATGATAATGTCCGATCCAAATGTGTCATTGCACTTGCATGTATATTTTCATTAATGATAAAATATTCAATCTACTTGCCTTGCTTCTTTTCCTTGGCCGTCCCCCTGGCCCTTCACCGCCAAGTATGGTTATCTCTACCCTTAAACTAACTGTATGATCTTGTTAATGATGGGAAGTAATGTAGATTTGCTAAGAACTTTGGTTTGCACTAATAATGCAGGAAATCATAAGAATAAAGAATGAACACCCGGATGATAGCCAGTGTATTGTCAATGATAGAGTGAAAGGTTGTCTTAAGGTCACCAGAGCATTTGGAGCTGGATTTCTGAAAAAGGTTTGTCGTATATCCTTTGTAATAACTATTTTGCTGCAAGGATTTCTGATAAAAAGTAATTCTGGTTGATGATTATTACTGTTTGGTGATTTGTACATCATGGTAGCATATATCTTTGTTATAGGTGCTCATTGCTTGCTATGTTCTAGTAAATTATATCTTCATGAATAATATTCATCACTACGGTATATGGATAAGACACATTGGCTTTTATAGATAATGCAGTGTATAAATTAAAATGTTGTTATTTTTGGATATCTTTTAAAAGTGTTGTGAGAGAGGAAATGCTGTATATAGCATTGGAAATGATTCAAGTTGCAGGTCACCTTTATCAGTGCATAAAAATATCATTTCTGTTGTATGCTGTGTCATGTGAGCCAACCGAATATCATTACTATACTTATTTTTTTAATGTTTCAATATATGTGTCCCTGCTCTAAAAAACCACAAGAATATCATTACTGATTTTGCTAATGCTTCACTCATTTATGCATTCTTGCTCTTACAAAACCACACTTGAGCATTACACTTATGTTTCATTTTTTCAATTGATGAAGTTCCCAGGGTATTGTTTTATCCAATGGTGTGTTTTAAAAACTTGCTCAATGATATCATGGCATCTTGGTGCAGCCCAAGTTGAATGATTCATTATTGGAAATGTTTCGAAATGAGTATATTGGAACTGCTCCATACATATCCTGCAGGCCTTCTCTTCATCACCATAGACTCTGCCCAAGAGATTAATTTTTGATCCTCTCATCCGATGGCTTATATCAGTATCTGACCAATCAGGAAGTGGTTTCAAATGTTGAGAGTTTCATGGATAAGTTTCCAGATGGTGATCCTGCTCAGCACCTAATAGAGGAGCTGCTCTTCCATGCAGCAGACAAAGCTGGTAAAATGTTCTTTCTTCTCTGCTCATTTCTTTAAATGCTAATAATCATCTAGTTGTACAAAATGTGGAAAAGTAATTAGGAGATTTAACCTCTGAAAGTAAGGGTGTTTCTTCCACAGTAAATAGTATCAAGGCTTTTTCCATGTCAATATCAAGCCATTTGTCAACTATTTCTCAATGTAAACGTTCTGACATAATTTTTAGTTGTTTTCTTCTGCATTACAATAGGTAATTTCTTGAGTTATCTTCTTAATATTATTAACATGATGGCTCCAACAAGATTGGTTTCGAGCAATTTATTCATGGTTATCTGACTTATTGATTATGCATTGACTTATTAATTATAATTTATATGTAATTATTTAGTTTTTGCTTGACTTATTGATTATGTATTGAATTGATGGTAGAAAAAAATGATAGAGCTGTAAGATGAAACACAGGTAAGGGAAAGTGAAAAAACAGAAGCAGAAATATGTGAGGAAGTTCTGGGTAAAGCTTTCGGATTCAATCAAAATTTTGTATTTTCACACATTGAGCATCATGATACTGTAACAGAAGCAGAGTTAAGTTGCATAGTGCAACAACAAGAAAAAAAGATTAATCAATTGGAGGAGCAACTCGTCTTAGTTGATCAACAAAAACAGAAAACAAAAAGCCTTGAACAACAACAATTTGTCCTGTTGGAGATGATGAAGCAACTAACTATAGCCCTTGAACTACAACAATCTGATAAAGCTCCAACTCGATAGCTATCGCCATCTCCAACTACTAAAGACTTGTCCTCATCAGCTACAGCTATTTCAAAAACCTCAATTGGTGACACTTGAGATGCTCTAGATATTGATGGTTAGTTTTTTGTTGTATGGGCAGTATATATTTTGACATAGGGGTAGGACCATCTTTTTAGGATTGTTTGCATATATCTGTTAGATGGTGTACATGGGATGGGCATTTTTTTGTTAGTTATGCACAGATAGATAGTTAGTGATGAAAATGTGGGTGCATACTTTTTTTTTGGGTTATGCACACTTGATAGTGCATTTTGGATTTTTATTGCTCCTAATGCATAAAAATCCATGTATGTATGTATGTATGTATATATATATATAATATTTGATGTTAGTGTTCATATTTTTATATTGTGATGAATTATTTTGTTGATGTTGAATGTATAAACTAGGTTAATACAAAATGCTTTTGCCACTAATTATTTTCTAAAGAAAAAGCACATTCTGCAACTAATTTTTTAGTTGCAAACAATAATTTATCATAATTGGATTTTATATTCAGCGTCTAAAATTATAAGAATTAACTATTAAATTTTGGTCACCAAAAGATATATTCGTTCACTAATAAAATAGTCGCGAAAACCTTTTGGATTCTACATTCAGCGTCTAAAATTATTAGAATTAATCACTCAATTTTGATCACTAAAAGATACATCCAGTCACTAATAAAATAGTTGCAAAAACCTTTTGAATTCCACATTCAGCGTTTAAAAATATTATAATTAACCACCAAATTTTGATCACCAAAAGATACATTCGTTCACTAATAAAATAGTTGTGAAAAACTTTTTACAAAATTACCCTTACATCTTCAGTGTCTGTTGAACCGGTTGTCACGGTCACAAAATTAAACATAAATACCGTAGTTAGCGGTAAGCAGGGTCGAATCCACAGGGAGCAAGACTAACAACCTAATGTATTTTGAGTAGCGGAAATGAAATTAGCAATTGATTAATGAAACTAAATATATTAAATGCAAATAATGAAATAGTGAAATTAAAACTAATAAAGACTTTATAATAAAAATGTTGCCATTACGGTTTTGGTTCGACACGAGACCGACTCACACAATTCTTCTCCACCCCCTACAATCCCCTAAAGCTACAAGACAAGGTAAATCAATGAAATGGCTTCCCGACACTCTAGGTATAATCTATCATGTCTCACCCGATCACTCAAGTTCGATTGGTTAAAGACTATCATTGAACGCCGATAAACGCTACAAGGCAATACCACTAGTTGGAACGTGATTAACAAATACAATTTGTCAACACGTATAATCCAATCAACCAACTTCACAATAAACGTAACAATAGTAGAAATTAAATTAAATCCAAACACAACTCAATTACAATCGATGCGAAGTAATGAAAAACAATATTCATCATTTAATTATTTCAAACCAACGTTTATCATTCAGCAAGTTCTATGAAAATATTAAATCATAATGGACAACAATATTCATCACAAGTTATGCTCAAATCATATTAAAGTATTGAAATCAAATATGAAACGAAAACAAATATAATCCGAAGCACAATACTACCAAATGTCTTATAATCGGGCTCATCCAACTAGCCGAGAGCTGATGAGGAGAGTCGTGGAGTCAATCTCGATCTCGCCTATGCCGTAACAGACAACCGGGAACTTAGCCGCTCATGGTGGTGATGACGAAGGCTGAAACGGTGGAAATGAAACTGATCATGGCGGAGAGGAGGTAACTGATAGCGATATGATGCGAAGAAGGGGTGAAAACAACCAACGGACAACCCGGAATACGAACAACTGCACTCGTCGAAAAACATTAATTTTTCGGCGGGTCTTTCAGAAAACAGTGGCGAAAATGGGATCCGAAGGTACCGATGGAAAGCTTTGGTGATGGAGAGTTCAGATCATGTCCTGGGGAGGTGAGAAGTCATCGGAAATGAGTAGGATCTGGGCTGGAAGATGAAGAGTCGCGGTGGCTAGATGGCAGATTCAGGCGGTTTTTGCGGCGGCTGAAGCTAGGGAAGTGTAGATCCGACCGTAGGGAAGGGAGATCAGGTCTTGAGGAGTCGAAATGTCACCAGAAAATGACAAACTCTCGCCTGGAAGACGAAAAGTCGCGGCGGTGGAAAGATGAAACGTCGCGGCGTTTCCGTGATTCGTGGTGGTGGCTTGCGGTGGCTGATGAAGATCGGTGTATGGGGAGATGAATCGTCGACGGAGGGAGATGAAGGGTCGCCGGAGCTCGTCAAAAAACTGGGTGAACAGCCTACACGTTAACGCGACTTTTCGCCTTCTTTTATAGAACAAAATGCAAAATATCACTTTGTCCCTACACAATTGAAATGTGACAAAATCAGCCCTTATAAAAATATGACAGTTTACCCCCCAAACAGCATAAATGAGACAAAATCACCCATAATCCATAAACCACAACTTAATATCAACTCATATCATTTCCAAATTCATCCCAAATATGCTAAATTAGTAAGAAAAACTCAAAATATGATTTTTATACATAAATTCATAATTTTTCTTAATTGTCTCAATATAACTTCAATTCAATTACATATGGGATCTTTTTATCAACGAAATAGAGTCACTTTCATGACTCTAACAACGTCTAATTTCTATGGCATTCGCGACAAATTATTAGACACTAAAAGGTACATTTTGCAACTAATTGATTAATCACGATACCATTTTACCAAATTACCCTTGAACAATTAGCTTCTAAGTGGGGGGGACTATTTTAACCAGCAATTAGCTACTAATTTGTTAGTCGCCAAAAAAAAATTTCCACGACTAACCAAAAATTTAGACGCCCATACTTTCGACGACAATGATTTCGCAGCTACGTGATGACTACAAAATTTAGATGCGCAAGAGATTTAGCGTCTAAATTTTACTTTCTGCATCTAATTTTGCTGGACGCCGAAAGACATTTTTCTTGTAGTAAAAGTAATGTCTCAAACAAATGATCGACTTATGTGATTTTATGTATAAAGGATTTCAGTAAGAACTCAAATAAATTAAATTAAATGGAAGAGGTTCTCTGGTACTCTTCATTGTTTTACATGTTAAATAAAATGATTTATTTTATAAATTTGATTTATGAACATTTATGTCAATTTATTGAACATATATTAAAAAACTATATATTTAATGAATTTATTTTTTAATTTATTTTATATAAGTTATAATAAACTGAGTTTGTTAATTATTCTATATGTACAAAATTTAAATCTTATTTATTAAATTTAAGGATTCAAATTAACGTACGTGATACTTATTAAGGATAATATTATTTATGTCAATTTTATGTTAAATGATATAAAAGCTTCATTAAATCATTAACTCTTAATTTTTGTATAATCTTTAAACCTACGTTAAGTAAAAATAATAATAAAAAAAATTAATATTAAGAATATTAAAAGTGAGTTTTTAATTTTGTAAGTAATTAATTACATTTGTTAAGATTATTTTAATTTTGTAAGAAAAAAAACTCTTATTTTAATAAGCAAATTTAATTCTCGGACTATTAAAAAAATTATTAACCATGATTTCTTTTGTTTCCACACTGCTCTTTTATTTCTTTTACAGTGTTATTATAAGCCCAAATTCCTTCTACTTGAATAAATTTACACCACACAGTTCACATTGGCTTTGCCTCACCTCAGTCAAAACACTATCCATCCTAACCAATAACATATATCCACATTTCTGTCAGGTGTAATATCCTAGCTAGTTTATAATGCATCTCCAATTCGGAAATTGAATAATTTATCTTTAATGAAATTATTCATAAGATCTCTCCAATATATCAAAAAGAGTATTTTATAACAATAAAAATAAATAAGTAAACATAACAGCAAAAGAAATTCATACCAACAATAAAACATACATATGGTTATTTCTTTAGTTTTATGATGTATAAAAGTCTTGTGACAATGAAAATGACATTCATAAATTCATAAAAAATTTGTTTTTAAACCTATATAATTGCATACCATGAAGTACTATTCACTCATTATGAATGACAGAATGAGTGATAAAGATAAAATATTAATTTTTTAATTTATTTATTTTAATCCAACAAACTACGACGTCGCACACTTAAGTATGAGTAGTGCGGGAGACTAGGGAATGGGTTGAGACGTTGAGTAAATTCTCCTAGGAACGGAGAAAGAATAGACGAAGCTTTACTTAGATAGGGCTTTGATTTGTATTGATTTTTTCTTAGTGATTGAAAAGGAGGACGCCTGGGGATGTTATAGAAAGAGAAGGCAGTACTTCGAATGGCAAATAGAGGTGGCTCAACAGGGAAGGAATGGGAAATCGTCAAGGATGACTTCTTTGTTTTGTTGGCGAAACGAAGGGCTAAATAGCTGCCCCAGTGATTCTCTGAGCCAGTCTGCATCTCCAACGCCTCGAACATTTGTTATAATGAATGTAATGGATAGTGTATGAACAGTTAAAACCAACCCAACCAACTTTGCATCAAAATAATATGCCAAAAAGATTATCGACTTAACATGATTTTTTCCTGGCAAAAGAGATTTCAGATTGACAAACTAAAAAAAAAAAAAAAATTGACAATGTTCGACGCCTCATTGCTTTAAATGTCAATGATTTATTTTATAAAGTTTGAATCTAATATTAAGGAAAAGTAAGAACATATTTCTTCACTGATTCAGGATCACTCAAATCCTTATCACCAAGAATTAGGACATAATCAAGATTCTAGTTTCAGAGTGGTCAAAACAAAATAATTTTTTGAAATTTAAATATATAAAAATATTAATATTATGTGGCATGATTTTGATACATAAATAAAACAAGAAATAAAAAAAATATTAATTAAAATAAAAAAGAACCCCCCAAAAAAGCCACTATATATAGACAACAAAACTCAAAACTCTTTTGTTTTTATTTTTTTAATCTGTTTTGATTAAAAAAATGAACTTAATATTTGGCTTTTTAAATAAATGAGAGGCATTAAAGTAAGAGCAATGCTAATTTTAAAAAGATAAATATAAATGGGGCATACAAAGACAATCCCCATCCTTGATTTTCATGATTTCTCTCTCTCTCTCTCTCTCTCTCTCTTTTTCCGTTTTTTCTTTGTTTTTTTCTTCTTGGTGACATCACTTTATAACCCTCTTTGCATTGAAAGGTGAGAGAGTTACAAGAATTAATTAAGCTTTTATTATCTATGCCATAAATGTGATTATTATTAATTAGTGTCAGCTAATTTGAATGGGAAACTATGAGCAGAATCCGATGTGCAGATGTGGACGATGCAAAT